GGGGGGGGGCTTTGAAAGGACTTTTTTTTAAACTTCAGAATCGCAGGTCGGGGACCGGGCCTACGTCACGGCTGACACCTGACCAGGACACGGAGCCCAGAGAGCCTGAGTGACTCACCCGGGGACACAGAGAAGTGCCACCATCTACGGGTGTGGCCTCCCCCTTGGGTGGAAAAGGAGCCCAGGAGGGAGACTCGGGCCCCCCAGGCCCACAGTGGCCGCTGGGAAGGGCGGAGGCGGCCTGCAGACCCGGGCAGGGGGTTCAGGCGCCCCCTGCCTGCCCAGGAGCCCGGGAGAGCTGCCCCCTGGGCCCCAGCTGGGCCTCGTCTGCAGGATGAGCAGGCCGCGCTGTGTGGTCTCCGCGGGATCGAGAAGGTGCCGGGAAGAGAGGATGACCCCCCTTCCAGCCCCGGGGACCGGGGACCTCAGAGCCCCCCGGCAGAGCCAGGGACCAGGGACGTTCCTGGCTCCCAGAAAGGCAGGGCCCTCTGCCCGCAGGGCCAGGAGGTGCGAGGCACAGACCTGGGTGGTGGGAGGCCGAGGAGGGGACCGCGGGGTACAGAGGGGGCCCAGGCAGTCGGACCTGGTTCTCACGGTCGCCCTGCCCTGGGGCTGCGGGCTCCAGGGCCCAGCCGGGACTTCACCAGCCCGTGGGGCGCGGGGCGCACGGGGAGGCCGGCCCGGGACAGAGGGTCAGGCTGGGACTCTGCACTGGACACCTCGCAGTGACCAGGGCCCAACCACCGGCCCTCTAGGCCGCGGCTTCTTGGAGTGCAGAGGTGGTGGGTGTGCCCCGTGCCAGGTTACAAGCCCAGCTCCTGGCGGGTGCCCACCCCGGTGCCATCTGTATTGGCACAAATCCCGGGGTGACAGGGCAGACTGCCCGAGACCCCACAGAGGCCCTCAGCCTCCAACTGCAGGAGCCACTTCTCTGGGGCCTGGTCCTGCCAACCTGATGGTGGTGTACTGGGGACTGGGCCCCAGAGGGGACCTGACCCTTAACCCCGTGCTGGGAAAGGAGTCTCTCTCTTGACCACAGGCTTCCTGTCCGAGAGCCACGTAAGCACTCTTTGGTGTGGCGGATCCACTATTTCCTCTTTTGCCCTGGCTGCCAGGAAGCTCAGGGTTCAAGCCAGCCCTCCGCTGTGAACGACCCTCCACCCGGATCTCAGACACAGTGGTTTCCTCCTGGGGTAGGCTTCCACCTCATTTGATTTTAGCCATCCTGGGCCTATGTTGGGAGACTGCTCCAGTTCTCCTGGGGAGCAGCTTGGGTACGGGTCAGAAACAAGTAGAGCAGATTCACCCCAGAAGTGCCCAGTGACCGTGTGGCCAGCAGGAACTCAGCCCAGGTTGTGCGACGTACTCCTGTGTGAGCTTTGGCAAGTTGATCAACCTCTCTGTGCCTCCCCTGCCACTTCTGAATGTACAATATTAATGCCCGTGGTCTCGTAGGACTGTTGTGAGGGATAACTGAACACAGAGCGCCCCGCTGACCCCGGCACACTGTGTGTGGGGGTCACTGGGGGATGGGGTCCTGATGTCGTCCTTGCTGCCCATCTCTGAGCACCTGCTGCCCCATCTGTCAACATAAACCACCCTGCAGAGCTGTCGCTAGGACCAGGTGGTAAAGCTTCCAGAAGAAACCACCACGGCACACAGTAGGTGCTCTGCCTGCGGTCACTCTGACAGCCACTCCTAGCTCTGTTCTGAAGGCTCAGCCTCCCATGAAGCCACAGGTGCCTTTGTCCCCTAGTGTGGAGACGTCTGTTGGAAGGTTTCCCTTTCTGAGTAAAAGAATGGCCCTAGCTGGCACTGCCCCCTTCGCTTCTGGCCACAGCAGTGCAGATGCTATGCCTGCTGCCGTGGCAGCCATTTTGTGACTGTGAGGTAGGGGCACACACCACGCCACAGGCCAGCTGGGGGCTTTCCAAGGTGGCCTCCAGGTCCTCAGCACCTGGGGCCTCGGGTCTCCTTACTGTCCCTGTTTTGCTGACGGTGAGTCAGGCCCGGGTGAGGCGCAGCACAGCCACGCAGACCGAGCAGTGCTGCCCCTTGGGCCACCCCAGGGCCCGGGGTTGGTCTTGACCCCTGAGGGCCTCCCGTCCACCCACCCGGGGACCAAGGCCCTGGGGACCTGCAGCCCACGAGGGCGGGCGCTTACCTGGCCCACGTTGAAGTAGAAGAGGGTCCCGGCGGCCACCTGGGCGACGAGGATCAGGAGGAGGAAGGCAAAGTACTGGGGACAGAGGGGCGCGGTCAGCTGCGGCCCAGCTGCCCCCACCCACCCCGGTCAGCAGCTGGCAGCGGGCGGGGCCGCACTCACCAGCCCCAGCAGGCAGCGGACCTCGTTGACAGCACCCAGGCAGCCCAGGAAGCCCATGAGCATGGTGACCACCCCCACGCCGACGAAGACGAAGGCGCCCGTCTTGAGGAAGCCGGAGGAGGTTTCTAGGAGGGAGGGAAGGGCCTCCACTCACCAGGAGCAAGACCACAGAGGACAAAATCGGCCGGCCCGGGGGGCCACTCGTCCAGCTCTGCTCCCCCACCCCTTCTTTGGACCAGGGGGCTGGGTCACCCACCAAGGAACTGGCTCCCACCCCCGCTGGAGCCCCCTCCCCTGGATAAGCCGCGTCCCCACATGAAACTGCAACCCTGCGCCCAGATCCAGCCCCACCTGCAGCCCTGCTGTATTTTTCTCCCTGGGCCTTCTCAGGATCAAGCCTACTCTGTGTCTTACTGACTCTGCTCACTCACTATCTGCCCCTGCCCCCGTCCCAAGAAAGCCAGCGGCGGGAGGCAGGGGCTTGGCTCTGTTCCTGCTGGGCCCCCAGCTGGCAGGACAGTGGTTTGGCACAAAAGTGCCCCCTGAATGTCTGTGGGATCAACAAGCAGCGGGCACTGTGTCAGATGGGTCTGCAGAGGCCAGGGACACGACGACTCCCTTCCTGCCCACTGGCCTCGCTTCAGGGGCTTTCCACGCGCCGTCTGTACTCTGACCTCAGCCTGCCCGGCAGGCACTAGGCTGGCCGCTTCAGAGGGAGGGAAACCGAGGTTCAGAGAGGCCCCCTGGCAAGGGCCAGAGCAGGGTCTGGGAACACGGATGCGCGGGCACTTGGGCAGAGGGAGGGCCGAGGCCTGTGACCGGCACACGGTCCATCAGTGCCCAGGAGGAGGCAGGGACCGGCACTTCTGTCCCCCAGCTGCCTGGGGAGATGTCCCCACCTTGGCCCCAGTGTCCCTAGGAATGATGCACAGCGGGGGTTGGGCAGGAGGCCACTCTGCTCCTGGTCACAGACAGAACGTTCTGGACCCCAGGGGGAGCCTCAGGGTGCCAGGGCAGGGCTGCCCCCCGGCTGAGAGCCCGGCTCCCCGCAGCCCTCGGGTTGGCAGCCAGCTGCCCACGGGGACGGGGGCTCGGCTTTCCCCCCACTTCCTGTGCCCGGGTCCCCACATTTCCTCCTGGTGACAACTGCCAGGGAAAACGGGCTGGCGTGGCCCGAAGGCCACCCTGTCCCCCTGCGGAGCCCGGGGGAGTCCACACTGACGCGAGGAGACTGCAGGGGGCAGGGCCGGGGTCCTCCCCGGAGGGCGGTGGGGTGCGGGGTCTCCGTCCCTGCCACCTCATGCTGACACAGCTCTGGGCTCAAGCAGGCTCCCGGCCACCCGGGGCCTGGGCACCTGACCCAGGAGGGGCAGGAGTAAGGATGGGAGCCAATGGCCCCGGGTGGCCGGTGAGGCCAGGTGGACCCCAGGTCTTCTCTGGTGAAAGCCCTGACCTGGGGCCCGGAGCCGAGCCAGGTGGTGTGGGGGTTCGGGGCGCAGGTTTGGGAGCCACGCCTCCTGCTTCACCTCCTAGTTCCCTGGCCTGCTGGCTGTGTGCCCTTGGACAAGTTACTTCCCCTCTCTGTGCTTTGATTTGTTCCATAAAATGGGGCTGGCTCAGCCCCATGGACTCCAGTGAGGATTCTACCAGGTAAGAAAAGAACCGGGTCAGGCAGGCCCAGCCGGCAGGAGGTCGGGAGCTCGGGTTCCCCGTTCTGACCCTCTCTGGCCGGTGACTCCCAGCGATCCCCCCGCCCCGCCCCCGCAGGCTCAGTTGACCCAAGTGTCCACTGACTGGGTCAGCAGATTCCGATTCCTGCTTCTGACCCCTGGCACCCCCAGGAGTCCCAGGTGGGGTGGAGAGTGTTTTAAGTGACATAAACACCCAGGGCGCCACCCACAGGGGATCAGGTCTCTGGTGTTTATGAACACACCTGCAGCCCAGGTCTGGCCAGGCCCGGGCAGGTGCCCAGAGGGCAGAAATGCAGGTGGGTCTCCAGACTTTGCCCTGGGGCTGGGCGCCCGATGGGTGTGGGCAGAGCGGGGAGCAGGGAGCCTGGGCAGGTCAGGCCAGGAGGGTGTGTCCCCGAGGGCCGGGGCAGGGGGCTGTGGCAGGAAACCAGCCCTGACCCCCACAGGAGGCCCCGGGTCCTACTGGCTGTGGCCAGAGGCAGACCACGCTGTCCCCATCTCCTGGGGGAAGCCTGGCTCCCAGGCCCAGGTGACAGGTGCGGCCTCGGTCAGTGCTCTGACCTGGAGCCACTTAGATCAAGCAGCTGTCCCAGGCCAGAGTCCAAACTGGCCGCCTGGGCGGCTGCTGGGAGGGGAATGCCCAAGGCCACAGGCACAAGAAGGGCACCCAAGAGTCCCCAGGAGGCAGCCAGCAAGCCCCGGGAGCCTTTGGCCAGGTGACGCGGCCTTGGGGCTTTCCCTCTGGCCTCCGCGGGACTCGGGCTTCCAGGCCGGGCACCTGGCCAGTCTGAATGCCAAGCCTGCCCGGGGCTGAGTGGCCTGCAGCCAGCGGCTGACCCCTCTGAGCTGCTCCTCCGTTTGAAGGCAGGTGGGGGTGAGCTGAGGCGGGTCACCTCACCCAGCACTGGACCTGGAGGGAGTGGCCGCGGTCACCCTGCAGGGACCCTTCCTTCCCCGCACACCCCGAAGCGCCCAGCAAGTGCCTGGCTCAGCAGGCGCTTCGTGAGCACCCGAGGGCCCCTGCAGGCTCTTCCTGCGGCTCCCTGACCCGCCGCCCGCATTTTGCTGGACCTGTCAACGCAGGGACAGAGAACCCCAGAGGCTTCCCTGCGGCCAGGGTGGAGGGAAGGGACCGGAATCCAGGCTCCCTCGTGTTCCCTTCCCTCCAGACAGCAGCCGCTCCTCTGTCCTCCTGGAGGCCCTGCAGGGGGACCCTGGGCACCTCAGTGACCACATCCCCGAGGGCGGCTGGAGGAGGAGGGACAGCCTGGGCCCCAGCACCGGGGGGAGCAGCCCTGCTGGGTGGCCCCCGACTCCTGGGGAAGCTCCTTACGCAGGACTGAGATGAAGCTGCTCCTGTCGGCCAGGATCCACACGCCGAAGCCCAGGATGACCGCGCCCAGGATCTGGAAGGACAAGGGGCAGTTAACAGGGGACCCGAGAGGGTGGGGGGACAGGGCCTTGCCCAGCTGCCCCGGGGCCCAGGGGAGGGGGGTGGGGGCACCAAGGCTGCCACCTCCTCCTGCCCTGCCCAGGGGTGCCAAGATGGCCGGACCCCCAGCAACACAGACGCAAGACCACAGACCGGGGGAGTCCCTGCCTGCAGCCAGCCACGTGCGGTCACGCTGAACCCACAGGGCAGCCTCCTGGCCTTTCCCGGTCCTTCCACTCCACTCCAGCCCGACTCAGGCCCTGGAGGTGCCCAAAGGGGCTTCTCTAGCTGGCCTGCAGCTCCCCGGGTCAGGGCCGGGGGACAGGACTCTGTAGGCACTGGACAGCGGGGGAATGAACGCGCCCCCAGCCCGACTCTACAAAGGAAGGGCCAGGAGCGAGATGACGAGGGGTGGAAAGAGCACGCTGGAACCAGGGTTCCCTGCCGCGGTCCCCTCCTCTGGGGTGACGTCCCCAACCTGACCTCAACCCCGCAGGTGGAGGCCCACAGGCGGCTGGGCCAGGAGACACCCCTGAGCCGGGGCAGAGGCCCAGGTCCCTTGAGGAGGGGGTGGCCTGTGTCACTGTGCCGGGGCCTGCTGGGCCCTTGGCAGGTGACCCACCTGGAGGGTCCTCCGTCTCACCAGCCCCGGTTCCCCCCTCAGCGCCATCCATGACCCCAGGTCAGGGCCAAGGTCAGGGCCAGCGGCTGCCCCAGGCCTCCAGCAGCCCGTTCCATTCTTGGTAAAGACCAGAGCCAGGGCCGGGCAGGGCCTGGGCGCAGAATGCCAGGGCACCCAGAGCACGCCGGGCAGCGGCAGCGGTTTCTTAAATAATGCAAAAAAATTAGATGAATAAAAAGAGGGACCTACATGTGAGCTGCCACATTTTGAGACAAGCCTTGACACCGTCCCTGTGGGGACCCTTCCTTCTGCCTCAGGCTGCAAGACAGGAAGGTGTCCTGCATGGGCCTCCCCTGGGCAGCCGGGTCCCAGCACCACACAGAAACCAAGGCTGGTGACCGCGATGGTGACGGGGGCCACCTACGCGCCTCCCAGGCCGCCCCCACCTTCCTGCTATGGCCATTTTATACACGGGGACGCTGAGGCCCGGCTTCACCTCTTGGGAACTGGAAGCCAGAGGGTGGCAGTCTGGGGATCTGCCCCTGGGATCTGTCTCAGGGGACGGCAGGTGGCTAGGACACTGCAGAGGGAAAGGTCCCCGGAGGTGGGCTCACAAGAGCCGCCAAAATTTGTGGGAAGTTGGGGACCTGGCCCCAGGAGTCCTGCTCACCTGCCCCAGGGTCGGGCCTGGGCGTCCCCAGCCTCACCAGGCAGAGCCCCTGCCCCACACAGGGACACTCGGGGGGCAGGCAGGAGGGGGAACGGCCCCTCCAAAAAGGGAGTGGGGGACAAGTCAGACCCCTCCCCGAAACCCAACCCTGGTGGATGAACCCCAGGGCGGTCGCTCCCGCCTGGTCCCCGGGCCGCTGTGCAGGCAGATGGCCGCAGGCTGGCCGTCGGGGGTGGCCAGCGCAGCCACAGGCCACGGGACGGCCAGGAGGGAGAGCAGGCCGGGCGGCCTCCCGGGCCCCTCCTGTGAGCCGGGCCTGGCACCGTGGGCCACGCTCCGTTCACCAGCCCCGCCCCGGTCTGCGGACCAGGCCCAGCGGGGAGGGGACACGGCTCCTCCCTGGACTGGCCAGCGCTGGCCTCCCGGGAGTTTGCCAGGGCACTTGGCGTCAGGTGGGAGCTCGGGCAACAGTGTGCGGGGCGCAGGTGAGCGTGGCGAGCCCGCAGGGGGACAGCCATCTCCAGGCCACAGGGCCCCTGACCCCCCCAGCGGGCACAAGAGGACAGCAGCGTCCTTCCCAGGAAGGTGCCCGTGGTGCCCGGGAGGGCCCTCCGCCACTCCCCCAGCTGTGCTGCTCCTCCTGACACGGGGAACCCCCAGCACTGACCCCCAGGAGGCCCCTCCACGCTCTCATCTGGGCAGACAGATGCCCAGCTGGGGGGAACTGGTGGCCAGCCAGGGGATCTGGGGACACAGATGTGTGTCCCACTGCAGCCAGGAGGGCTCCCCTGGGAGCTCAGGGAGGCTGTCCTGTTGGGGTCAGTGTCGGGGGGCCCTGGGAGCCGGAGCCCTCACAGGCAGGCTCTGCACACGGGCCAGGCCAGGGCGCCGTCAGGATGGACCCGGGAGGAGGGGGCACCCGGGTTTTACCAACACAGGAGAGGGACCCACGGTTCACCAGGGGGCCAGCTGGCCACAGCCCTTCCAGCCCCGCCCACTCCCCTTAGGACTGTCCTCGACCGCAGCAGTCACCCCCAAGTGCCCGCGACCCATGCCCCCGCGGGGTCTCAGCCTGGGTGGCCTGGGGGACCCCTGCCGGGTGGTGGTGGCCAAGGTGGCCAAGGTACTTACGAAGAACAGCAGGTTGAAGAGGAAGAGGAAGTACTTGGTGACTTTGATGCAGGCCGCCCCCATCCTTCAGGTCCCAGAGTCCCCTGGAGAGAGGACAGAAGCAGGCAGGTCAGGGAGGGGCCGGGCTGGGGTGGGGGGAGCCAGCACTGCCACCTCCAGCCCTGGCCACCTCATCCGCCCTGAGGAAGCCACTGACACTGTCCCTGCTTTATGGAACACTGGGGCCCAGAAAGGCTGGGTGACGGGCCCAAAGCCACACAGCTAGAAGCCCTGGGCAGTGTCGGCCCTGGACGCTGGGCAGTGAGGGCCTGGGGACGCCACTCCACAGCACGGGAGGCCTCTCCTCCACGGCCCCAGGCCTGGAGCTCGGCTGGGTAAAGCCAGAGGCCAGGGGGTCAGCCACCCACTGAGGACCCGGAGCAGAGACCTGTGGCTCGTCCCTCCGCCCTGCAGACTCCCTCCGGGACCAGCGCCTGGGGCTCTGAGGTCAGCTAAGGCCACAGGGTCCTGGCTTCTCAGAAAGGGGGCTGAGAGACCCCCCTCCAACCCCAAGGGAATAAACGGGCACCGAATGTCCAACGGACCCAGAAAACAGAACAAAAGACCGTTCTCTCGCCCCGGGGTAAGATCCAGACAGTGCCCAGCAGCTGCGCCTCCTGCGCGCGCGGTAAATGGTCTTTAAACAAAACTGGCCACCGTGTGGACCGTGCTCTGGGGTCTGCTGTCCGCGTGTCACGGGACACAGTCTCGATGCCGACAAAACGTCCTCCTGTAACGCGACTTCACAGGTGGCGCCGGAGGCGTCCGGTCGGCCAGGACCTACTGATAACATTTTGGGGTTGCAGACTCCCCTAGAAACCCACATGTAGGAAGCATGTTGCAAACATTCCTGGGGGTTCACGGACCCCATGAAACCCCCTGAGAAATCCCAATGACCACAGGCTGGAGCCCCAGATCTGGAGAGGCCACAAAGGGGCCATCTGATCCTCTAAGATGGGACACGCAGGTTATTTCCAAGTTCCCCGTCGTCACCCAGGGTGATGGAATCTGTGCCTCCACACAAAAGGATCCCCCGAGAGGGGACCAGAGGGACAGGGAAGAGGGCTGCCCTCCCTCCTCCCTGAGCCGGGCAGCCTGGGGGGCGGGGGAGCAGTGCCCAGCAGCTGGGTCTGGACAGCTGGCCTGGGACAGCTGCACAGGCAGAGCTGGGAGGGGGCAGGGCAAGGCCACCAGGCCCAGTTGTGCTCCAGCTGCCCCCTGGAGGGGAGGGGCGGCCACGGAGCACAGGGACGGGAGGGAGAGGCTGGCTCGTCCCTTCTGAGCCTCTCGTCATGCAGGTCCCCGCCCTCTCTGCCTTCAACAGTGCCCTGTCCTCCTTGTCAAGTCCAGCCTCCGTGTCACGTACCTGCCCTGACTGGGGGTGGGGGACAGGCTGAGGGACAGGGCTCCCTGCCTCCCAAGAGCTTCGGTTCGTCCTTGTTGGCTGCACAGCGGCTCTTTTTAGGGGACAGGTCTGAGCACCCCAGAAAGCAAGGAGAACAGGCCGCCCGGGGGACAGAGAGCGCCGTCCCCAGCGGCGTGGAAGAAGTCTGCAGAAACACCAGGAGGGCTCAGGGCTATGTGGGAAGGTGGCAGATGGCCTGAAGCCTCCAGGGACCCGGCCGGGGCTGCAGGGGAGTGGCCGGGGCAGGCCCCGCTGGCCTTAGCAACTGGCCCACAGCCTTCCCGAGAGGAGAGGCCAGGACTCCCCCGCATCAGGACAGCCGGAGGTCTGCGCTGCCCAGCCCAGGCCCGGCCGGGGAAGGCCCGTGGGACGCGACACAAGGAGGGCCATTGTGTTCCCTCTCCGGCCCCCAGCCCAGCGCCTGGCGTGGCCCCGGCCTCAGAACCTGCCAGAACAGAAAGGGCAGAAGAAAGCCCCTCTCCAGAGCAAGGCTTGCTCCTTCCCACCAGGGACCTGCTTTGTCTCGGCTGGGCTGGCCTCTTCCCAGGACGCGGGGACGTGGGGCACGCTCAAGGGACAACCTGGCACAGGTCCAAGCAGCCCAGATAAGGCCTCACTTCCCGGGGGAACTTGGTCTTGGCACCTCTGGTTCCCGTGAAATTGGAAGAGGGTGGCCGCGGCCCTTCAGCACCCGGCCGCAGGCCCCGCTGCCGATTCAGCGTGTCCAGCAAGGGCTGCGACAGTGACCGCGCTCGGGCCTGAGCAGGAGGGTCTCCAAGCAGCCTTGCAGGGAGTGGGGGCTCAGGAAATGGCAACTTTAACACAGCAGACATGGGGGCGCGTGGAGGAGCGGCTGCAGGCAGGGGCCGCCGTGCCCTTGGATCCTCACAACCAGCCCTGGGGGGGGGCTTCCATCCCTGGGGACCTGAGGCTCCCACAAGCCAGTGACCTGCCTGCCGCAGGGCTAAGGTGCTGGGTCCAGAGTCCAAGCTGCTTCCTCCGGGAAGTGCTCCCCGCTGGGCGGAGCTGAGGCCATAAGGGGGGGGGGCATGGTCCCTGTGGGGACGGCATGGTCCCTGGTCCAGCTAGCCACTGGGTATCAAGGGGACAGCTCAGCGGGGCTCTGGTTTGACAGGCCACGCCCAAGGCAGGCTGCGGGGCTGGTGTCCCCTGGAATTCCGACCCAGGCACCTCTGCGGGGCGCTCACTCACACGAACTGTAGGAGGCGTCAGCTGAGCCCTGCAGTCACCTGCCGGCTCAGGGGCAAAGAGGGTGCCCAAGGCCACCAATATGTGCACTGCCAAGGACAGTGCCCAGAACCCTGGTCCCCACCCCAAGCCAGAGGCCAAGGGTCTCCATGTCGAAACAAGAGCCAGAAGGCCCTGGACCGCAGGCAGCTCAGGTGATTGGAACGAGCCTGGAGGCCACCTGAGACTCCCCGGTGGGGGGGCAGCGGGGGCAGGAGGCCAAGGTCCAGGACGCGTCCTTCGGCCCCACAGGTGTAGAGTGTTTCTCCTCACAGTAACCGGGAGCAGGACGGGAAGGACATTCTGCACCCTGAAGATGAGACGTCCTCCAAGACCAGGGGGCAGCTCAGCAACGGCAGGGGACACACCCAGGATGCCCCATGATGGAGTGTGGCACCTACTTCAGAGAGCCCCCAGCCACCACCAAGCCCGGCGGAGACCCTGAAGCTGGATGCTGAGAGCCCGGGCTGAGTCCCACCTGGGCCTCCCACACTGAGGGGTGGAGCCTCTGGACAAAGCCAGCCCCTTCCTGTCCCTTGAGCAGCTTGCAAGATTTTACTTTTTGTTTGCAGGAGGGCACCAGGGATTGATGTCAGGGGCACTCGACCCCTGGGCCCCACCCCCAGCCCTATTTCGTATTTTATTCAGAGACAGGGGCTCACTCAGTCGCTTAGGGCCTCACCTTTGCTGAGGCTGGCTTTGAACTCCTGATCCTCCTGCCTCAGCCTCCCCAGCCCTGCTGGGATGACAGGTGTGCTCCACTGCGCCAGGCCAGATTTTACATTTTTTGAATATAAATACTTTAAAGATTAAAAGGACATTTAATTTATGGAAGTGACATGAAATGCCAATTTTTGCCCCATCAACAAAGGCTTTTGGCTGCAGCCATACCTCCCAGCCTAAGACTGACCAACTGGCCTTTTACAGGAAATCCTGCAGCCCTGGCGTAGGGCCTCTAGGTCCAAGCCAGGGTCAGTAAGAGGCAGCGAGGGTAAGGACACCCTCAGCGTGGGGTCTCGGGGAGACGGGAACAGCAGGCCAGGTGGCAGGAACTGATGGCTACTTAGAGAATACGCAGGGTCCCCATCAAGCGTTCGAATCCCGGCTCTGCAGTCACACAGCCCCTGGGAAGGGACTTCCTGGGCCTCCTCTCCTCCCTGTGGACTGGGCACCTCCTGCACCCTGTCACCTCCCGCTGTAGGGGCAGTGAGGAGCCCGTGAGCAGAGCAGGCTCAGCGTCTGAACGCCCGTCCGTTGGCGGGCTGGCTGGGTACTTGCAGAAACGAGCGCTAAGCATCTCGTTTGTGGATGAAATCAAGCTAACAGAAGCTCCCCGGGCTGTGCCTCATCTGCACTCCGGGCCTCCTGCGAGGGTGCGCTAAATACCCTGACACCCGAGGGAATGCAAGCGCATCTTAGGGAAGGTTCTGGAACAGTCATGGAGCGCCGGTCAGCTCCACAGCAGGTCAGTCGGGCGTTTTTAGGCAACTACAATTTAAATCGACCAAAGGTATCATTTTATGCCAAGCCACTGTACAGTGAAATCATTTTGCTAATATCTTACTAACTTCTCCGGAGGCTCCTACTCTGGCCGGGCTGGTCTCCACCGCACCGCATGGTAGATGGGCGGATAGGCGGAGGATGGACGGGCGGATGGGAAATGGTAGGATGGTGGGCAGATGGGTGGATAGATGGGTAAATGCTAGAATGGAGGTGAGATGGTGGGTGAGTGGAAGGATAGTTGGATAGAGAGATGGGTGAATGGATGGGTGAATAGACAGAAAGATGGACAGATGGATGGATGGATGGGTAAATGGACGGTTAGATGGGTGGGGGAATATAGCAGGATAGATAGATGATAGATGGGTGAATGGTGGAACACATGGATGGATGGATGGGTGAACAGACAGAAAGATGGACAGAAGGACAGACTGATGGGTAGGTGGCTGGGGCAGGAGGGGTAAGGAGAAGAACACCAGGATTTTAAACGCTTAGCCATCTGGAGGGGGCCTGAGACCCACGGCCTGAGTCGGCTGAGACAATCTGCAGGTCTCTTCTGTCCCCGCCCGCCCACGGGGTGTGGCAGGCGGCACGTGGGGTGCGCACCCAGAGCGGAAGCAGGACCTGCTGCCGAGCCCTCCCACCTGCCCTGGAGCCTCAGGTACAGGGACGGCCTGGGAAGGCTGGACCCCGGGAGACCCCTCTGCGCTGCCCCCCACCTGTGAGTCTGTGCCCTACAGTAAAGGCCTGGCTTGTCCCTCACCTGGGCAGAGGGAGGACCTGGAGATTGCTGAGCAGCCTTGGGGAGAACCAGGGCTGTGGGGACCCAGCAACCCTAGGCCCAGAGACGGGTGTGGGTCCTTCCCTGCTCCCAAGGGACACCAGCATGTGACCGTGCATAGGTGACAGCCCTCCGCCCCCTGCTCACCTGTCCAGTGACGGGTTTGGACCAGGACAGTGTTTTCCGGAGCGGTTCCTCAGAAGACGAGTCTCGGAAGACGCCTGTGCTGTGAAGAACAAAGATGGCGCTGTCATCTGGCCCCGAGTGGCACGCACCCTCCCTGAGAGCCGCGTCCATTAGACCAGTGACGTCCTGAGATGCCCAGCACCCGGCACCCCACACCCGGATGGAGTCTCTCCCAAGCCACCAGGGAAACCCTTTCACTTAACAGCTCCTAACACCACACGGGACGCACCTTAGGAAATGCCGGATCCACAGCCAAGGAGGTCCCTGGGGCCACACTCCCCACCCAACGTGAGGCTTCAGGGGCCCCTCCACCCACCGAGCTCAGACCAACACCTAAGTGCCAGCTCAGGGCTCCTTCCGCGCCCCCATCAGTCCCCAGCATCTCCTGCCTGTTCAGCCAGCGGGTCGCAGGGTCCACTCCACCCTTGTCCCCACCAAATCCTAAAAAGAAATGCACCCTGTCCCTCCCCTGCCTGCAGCCATCCAACAGGATGCAGCTGACAACTTATCAGTTATAAAAACTTATCAGCTCTTAAGTGGCTGGCAAGGCCCTACGTGGTTTGCCATGCCCCTCCTCTGTCCCCCTTATTTATGTCACCTGCTCTCCTTGCACATGCTCATTTGGTCTCTTTCCTACATCCCAGTACATCTGGCTTTATCTACCTCAGGACCTTTGCACTTGCAGTTTCACTGCCAGCAACACTCTTTCCAGAAATCCTCCTGTAGACCTCAGCCTTCTTCAGCTCAGAAGGCTGCGGTCCTCCTCCCCAGGGCCTCCCCTGAACACCTGAGCTGTACAGAGGGCATCACCCCAGCCACCAGCAGAATCGGATTATGCCCCTGCCCTGCCTGAGAACCACTGCGGGGAATCAGGCTCTCTAAGTGACTCTAGGGTCTGTCACGCAGCCCTCACGGCAGCTGCTGGATTTGTTCACTGGTGTGAACATCCCCAGCCAGACGGCAGCTTCCCTGAGAGGAGGGCTGCCCCTGCCTCCCCTGTCCCCGAGCCTGCCTGGCGCATGGAAGTGCTCCGGACATGGGTGTAGGAGCACAGACAGGGAAGGAGGCCTGGGGAGGCCAGGAGGGCTTCTGAGGGGTACATCAACTTCCACCCGAGAGGAAGATGCAGGACGGAAGAAATGGCATCGCTGTTTATACCCAAAGGACTTAAAGTCAGGACAGAGACGCAGCCACATCAGTGTTTACAGCAGCTCAATTCACAACAGCTAGACCATGGAACCGTCCCAGGTGCCTTCAACAGGTGAATGGATAAGGAAACTGTACACATGGAATATTACTCAGCCTTAAAGAAGAAGGAAATCATGGCATCTGCTGATGGATGGGGCTGGACGCTGTCATGCAAGCGAAATGAGCCAATCCTCCAAACCAAAGGCCGGTGTTTTCTCTGATGTGCGGATACGATTCCACATAAGGTGGGGGAGGAGAGCAGGGGGGGTCTGGACTAGACAGAGGGGAGGGGGGGGGGGGGGGGGGGGGGGGGGGGGGATGATGGTGGAATGAATGGGACCTCACCACCCTCGGTGCACACGCGACCCGTGTGGCTCTCCGTCATCGCAACCCGAGAGGTCGTGCTCGACTTGTGTCTGTGTCAAAATGCACCCTACTGTCGTGTTCAACCAGTTACAACAAATAAAGATAGATTCAAAAAAGAGAAGAGATGGCATCGCGGGCAGGGGACAGTGGCGGGCAGGGGACAGTGGCGGGCAGGGGACAGTGGCGGGCACAGGCTGCCTCCCTCGAGGCGGGACCTGAGTCTCTTTAGGTCAGAACAGCAGGTGGCGCCCACAGACCCCACCACGCAGTGGGCAGGCTTGTGTCCCCACGCTGTCCCCTCTAGCCACGTGCCCTGCCCAGGAGTGCTCCTGGCCTTGGTGGAGTGACCCTGGAGCTCTGAAGTCACCGGCCCCTGTCCCCATGGCCAGAGAGCCTGGTGATGGCTCTGGGGTGAGCCCGGGCATCAGGGTGAGGTCTCCCTGGGCGTTTGCACGTGCTGAGATGGACCGCTGGAGCGCTGTCCCCAGAAGGCCTGGCCCCTCTGCTCCCACGTGGGCACAGGCTGACCTAGGTGTCCCGGTGTGGCTGTGCCTGGCCAGGGACGGCTGCTAGGATAGAGTGTCCCCGTCCTGAAGGCCTGTCTCCCGGTCATTCACCCCGGGGCAGCATCGCTGGGCAGGAGGCCCGTCGGGGCAGTGAGTTGTCCGGGGGGCCCAGAGACCACAAGAGGCCGCAGGGGACCCACCAGCCTGGACAGAGCCTCAAGCAGAGGACGTGCAGTGTCCAGCCCAGGGCTCCCCTCCCCTCCCGCCCGGCCCTGCCCACCAGAGCGTGCGGGAGACACAGCGGGCACAGAGCAGCTCCCCCGCCTGGCTCCCAGCGCGGCTCCAGTACCTGCCCCAGGACCTTGGGAAACACCATGGAGCCGTCTCCTCATCCGGGGTGGGACGTGGGCCCCGCAGGACCCCACAAGTGACTGGAGTAACCCTCGGCCAAGGCAGGGCGCTGACCCTCTCCTCCCAGCCCCTCCCGCCTTGCTCACAGTGGCCCTGGAGGGTCACTGCACCTCTGTGCTTTGGCTGTCCCCCTGGGAATGGAAGGGGCTGGGTGAGGCCAAAGTCACAGCCGAAGGGCCGGGCATTCAGCAGGTGTCTAATAAACGTGACCGAAGGTGACCTGGAAGTTGGTTTCCTGCCAACAGTCGGGAGTCCTCTGCCGGGGACGGCCCTGCTGCTCCTGGGCCAGGGGACCAGAGGAAGGGCTCTGCGCCTGCTCTGGGTGGACCCACGGCCACCTGAGCCTCGGAGGTCCCGCCTGTGGGTACGTCTGGGACCGACCGCGGGCAGGGAGTCAGGGAGAGAGGCAGCCGGCCGCCGCCGCCCCAGAGCTCTGGACCTTGTCCTGATCACCAGGGAGAGCAGCTGGTCCCAGGCGGCCGGCTGTATGTGCCTTCATGTTTGATGGGTGACTCCAGGGGCTGACCTCTACCTCCCACTACCTCATTCTCCAACTTCCAGTCTTATCTCGTTGTTGCTGAAAACAACACAAAACAAAAAGTGGTTACCCTGGGCTACGGAGAAGCCCGCGGCCACACAGCAGGATGAATCTCAGCTTTCCTTGAGATCCACTCTGAACCCTGGCTCTGCTTCCTACTTACTGTCCCTGAAGGTTGAGGAAATGGCCATCTCAACATAACTCACTCATTTGCTGTGTGATGTTGGAAAGTTACTAAACCTCTCTGAGCTCCAATGTCCTCACCTCAAGCCCTGAGACGCTAGTGGAACCCCGTCTCCTAGGGCTGCTGGATGATTGAGATGTGTGGACAGAGCTCTGGGGGCACTGCTGGCCACTCAAACACTAGGGAGCACAGCCCTCCTGCCCCACCTCACAGGCTGGGGAAACGTGTCCCCTCAGAGGATTTCAGAGCCCAAAGTGCCACTAGGTAACGGGGCTCAACTCCGGGCACTTGAAGGAAGGAGGCCAGCAGCCCCCCTGCCAAGCTGCAGCCGGGAGTGACAGGCTTTGTCCGCCCCCTGTGTGGACCCACTATCTCCTGGAACCCCCCTTCCCCACTGAGAGACTGTGAGGCCCACTTAACAGACAGAGACGGAGGCTCCGAGGCCGGTGTCTCGCCCAGGGTGACCCAGTGCCTGAGCCACGACTCAAGCTCAGGTGTGACGGAGACCGGCGCTCCTTCCTCACCTGCCCTCAGGTGGGTGCAGTGGGTGGTAGAGCTGGTGCCCCACCCCTCCACACCTCCGTCCGTGGCCTGTCCCCTCCCAGCCTGACCCTCAGCTCCCTGTCAGCTTCACCTGGCCAGGACGGTCCCTCAGTGTGCTCATGAGGCCCACAGACGTGGCCCTTCTCAGGCCTGGAGAGCCTCTGGATGAAGAGGACATGGAGGAAAGGTGCCAAGTGACACCTGGTGCTCCCCACCTGCCCCCCCACCCCTGGCCTCTGTGCAGCCAAAGACGCAAGCAGAGGCTGAGCCATAGCCTCTTGCCTCCCACGGTCCCTCTCGGCTGGTTTCGGCTTCTCAGCGGGCTGCTGGGGCCCCGGCAGCCCCTGCTCCCTCCAGAGGCCGTGAGCTCAGACCCACAGGCTAGGGAAGCACCTGGCATGACCTGGTCCAGACACTGGGGTCCACAGGCGACAGTGAATCCCTGACTCTCTGGGAATGTGTGTCTTTAGTGCAGATATTGGGGGTCGGGGAGGGGACTGGTGGGGGCAGCCGAGGCTTCCTGGCCTGTCTCACATGGCGGCACTGTTCGGGGATCGCTCAGCACCCTGAGATGGAGAGATGGGGTCCACTTGGCCTGAAGTGGCTGACCAGGGCTCTGTCCCTAAGCCACCTCAACACAGCCCACTCACGTGAGGATACTGGATGGGAAATAGAGAGACGTGGGGACTGCATGAGAAGCTGTCCAGGAACCCCAGATTCCAAGGCTCTTACTCATAAATAGTCCCCAGATCACCAGGGGGCTCTCAGCAGCCAGCCCTCTCTGGAGGAACCCTCTCCAGCCCCCCAAGGGGGACAGAATAATGAACCAGATAATGGGGACTTTGAACTGAAAGAGACCTAAATTCCGGTCTCATTCCTCAGAGCTGTGTGTGACATTTGGCAAGTCACCGCCCCCTTGGAACCTCGGTATCTTCATCTGTAAAATGGTCGATCGGGGCGTTTGCAGAAAGAAGGCAGCTGAGGTCACCTGACCGTGGCACGTGGACTCGCAGAGGTGACGGCAACGCGGGAGATGCGTCGTTTTAGCCCTGATGGCAAGGAGTCCCCTCCTGGCATGGCAGAGGGGCATACATAAAGACATGGGACAGACAGAGTTCCCACAGACTGCCCAGGAGGTCACCGTCACCAAGGACTTGGATTGGGGTCCAGCAGAGGGAAGCCTGAGGAACAGGACACGCCCCAGCCTGCATCTGCTTTTCTAATTTATCTCATTTAAACCCCCAGCCGGAGGCCGACCACAGGCTCAGGAGGTGGTGGCACTTGCCCAGTCACACAGGGGACAG